ATTGCGAGAGCCGCGTGGCGGAGCAGGGGGGCCATGGGCGAGCTTGCGGAGGGATGTGAGGTGTCTGGTGGGAGACTGGCAGCGGGGTGCTGCTGTGGGGGGCTGAGGTTGTAACAGCTTAACGGGGCTGCTGGGGGGCAGGAGGAGGAGGGGGCACCTGAGGGGGAATGGAGAACTTGAAGAGGGTCTCAGGAGGCTTTGCTGGGGGGCTCTGGAGAGAGGGGAGGGCCCGGGAATGGGAAAGATGGGGCCTGGGCACATGTGAGGAGATGAAGGATGAGGGCAGGGGAGAAACAGGTGGAGCTGGGGGGGCAGGTGTGCCTGAGGAGAGTAGTTATGGGGCAGGACTCCTGGGCGGGGGGGAGGAAGGTGGTGAGGATATCCAGCTGAATGGAAGGCTGCTTTACTTACTGGGAGCAGCTCAGCTACAAGTGATGGTCCTGGGAGCTGGTAGGTGTTTACTTGTGCTAACCGTGTTGTGCTACTGGCCTGACTTAATCAGTGTGTTTCAGAGCATCTGCCTTGGCCGAACTGTATCCGGTTTATGGCCAGAAGAGGAAAAATCTGGTGGACTGAGCACATGGCCTTCTGAGCCCTAGTCTCAGCTCTCAGTGATGGGCTTTGAACTTCATAGGTTGTTGAACTTCTGTTTGCTTCGGTGTCTCCATCTATGAACTAGAGATAACAGTTGGCTCTATGTGGGGATTAATTATCTCATCTTGTAGTCACATATTTATTTATTTATTTGTTTTTACAGTGGAGGACTTCTAAAGAATCCAGGTCTCCTTGTCATGGTGTTTAACTGCATTGTGCTCTTTGAACAGAGGAATCACTGAGGTCAGTCTCCCTTGTGTTTATTGTTGTTTTCCCTTTCAGAAGTATGAAGGCAAAGAATCATCAAAATAACAATTTATACTGACATCCTGACAATATATTAATAAAAATAATTACACAAGACATTGAGTTTTAAAAGGTGTGTTTATAGGGGTTGTTTCCACTTTTAAGTTCTGGATTGTGTATGAAACGACAGTATTCTCAGTCTGTAAAGTATCCTGCAAATATTGAGAGAGTTTCAAGTTGCCCTCAATATGAAATACTACAATTCTGTAAATCCAACATTACGGAAACTGCTCAAATAAAACAAGCAAACAAAACTTCCTTCCTGTTTTCCTAAAACGGTACGGTTTTGTACCGTAAGAAGGCTTTGTATCCAGCAGCCATTGAGGATGATGTTGTAGGCTCTCTATCAGAACTTCATACTTGCTTTTAGACAAGTAGAACTATGGGGATTATTTAATCTGGGATGAGGGAAAACTGCAGAAAGCTGAGAACAGAGGTTGACTGTAGTAATTGTGGACCACATCTAGTGTTTTGCAAACTTGTCACATGATGGTCTGATACTTTGCCTTTTGAAATCCCAATAGGAAAAGTAAGACAAACGTGGATCGCTTCAAGCATATGTTGTTGTAAGTATTGGGAGAGGCAAACTAAAGGTTTATCTGATTATCTCAACCTTAAAGTTGGCAGCTATGACAGGAAACTTGGTTTCATTCATCTGCCAAAGATATTTGTAGCATATCACTTGACAAGTTAAAAGGCAGGCATTTCTGTAATGGCACAAAAATAAAACCATCCGCTTTCTCAAACTGCAGTTTCTGTCTGGTAAAATAATATGGGTTTGGAGGCACGCTTGGGGAAAATTAAGAACATACTAGAAAAGGTAAATATTTGTATTTGCAAATGTTAGAACAGTGGTATTTAACATGGATCTAGAATTATGTCTGTTCAGAATGGTCTATAAATATAAATTTGTTCTTGTATCAGTTTGGTCAAATTAGTGGGTATCATTTGCCTTTACAGATGAGGGAACTAAATGAAACAGTAGAAGGGAGCGATCTGCTCATGACTGCATAATGTACTTCCTTTTCTGAAGAACCTGTTTTTAAATCCTACAAGACTGAGCGTCAGGACAAGCTGCCTTTAAAGTTCATAGATGGTGAGGGTAAAAGCTTCGGTCAGTGAAGTCCATGGAGATAACCCAGCGAACACCAGCTGAGTGTCTGGGCCTCTGTCCTTTTCCTCTTTGTCTGTGCAACACAGTGGTGGCTCTAGGTAGAAATCCATAGAGTCTCTAAAGGTGGCTGATGGAAAAATGTGAATAATGCTTCGCCATTAGCCATCAAGCATTTTAAATAAAATACTGGATCTACGTTTGGTAACAGTTGTCAGTGGCTGCTTCAGAAATACATCACGTCATCTGTCTACCGTGAGTTTAGAAAAAAGTCTACTGAGATTCTTATGGAACAAGCGTTATTTGAAAAGAAGGCAAAAAATGTTTATTGTCACCAGCTAAACGAAATAAAGAGACATTTAGCATCCTTTTTTCCTAGCCCTTTGCTGTTAGGCGTGCTCTTGCTTCCTTTTCAGATGATGATAGTAGGCATCTAGAAAGTTAAATTGGTTTACTTTAGTCTGCTAATTTACTGATGCAAATTTAGCTCACTTAAAGAAGAACTAAACAATTTCCTGTATGTCTGCATCTGGGATTTGCACCAATTTATCTATCAGATAGCTATACCCAAGGTTAATTCCATCTAAAGGAGGTGCCAGAACATCAGTAAATAAAAAATACAAATTGCCTAGGTTTCAACATGTTGTTCCTGCTGTTCTGTTGTGGAGCTTGTCCTGGGGTAGACCCATATGATGTTCTAGTGTAGACAGGACCTTTAAGAGCGTGCATCAGCACTCCATAATATTGTAGGAGAGGAAGTAGAGAACAATACTATGTCCAACGGAAACTGTGGCAAGAATTTATTCAAGGCACACGTTAATTACTCAAGCTGGGAATTTGGCCAGGACATTGGGGTTAACACCCCTACTTCTTTAGAAGTGTCATAGTTTATTTTTTTAATGACTTTTAAGTGATGAGGAGCTTGGCTTTCTGTTTCAGCAGAATGACAACACCTCTAGCAGTATAAACTTCTGAACCAGCACCTTTGTGTTGTTGTAAGCACTAACTCAGAGGAGTGATGGGGCCTATTACAGTAATCACTGCTATATAAATACTTTCAGTAGATAAGAAAGATAAGATTGTGATTATGGCAGAGTTTTAGCTAGTGAAGTCACATACGTACCTTCCTTAGCTTTCAGTCCACATGTTGCTTCAGTCTAACCTTTTTTAAGCAAATGAACGCAAATTCTAGACTAAATCCTAGAACTTGAACCTGTGAATCTTGGTTATTGTGATAGCAGTTAGGAGCTGCAGTTGTTTCTGCTTTTAAGTTCATTGTCTTACAAGCAGAATGTGCGATTAGCCAGAAATTCCTTTTGAAATTCTCGCATGGCATTGAGATTTTTAGAATGTGTTTTTGTATGTATTATGTACCGATTTAGAAACTAACTTTCACCTTGATCTCTGTTGGTGAAGAAGATAAGCGCTTGTGTGTTTTAGCTGTGAAATGCACAAATTGGAAATTATTTTTCTTTTTCCATCGTATCCCATGAAACCTGCTGTCATTCCTTTAGCATAGTTTAGGCCATTATTATGGGTTACAGGGTTATACAGGAAAAACGTGTTCTAGAGAAAGGTTGGTCAGAATGAACGAGGTAGTCTTCTAGATTGTTGTAATCTGTTTGGTATCAACAAGGTAAACAGTTCAGTACATCAACTGGGATGAAGATACCATGTCAGACAGCATCCCTTTGACAATTTATGTGGTAATGACAAAAATGAAGCAATACTGACCTTGTTACGTAACCACTCCTGTAATATATGACAATAATAATACTTCAGTCTTATGTTACCTTTTATTGTTCTTTGCTGTACACTTATGATTGTCCCATGAGTCAAAGGAGTGTTGTAATCCATTAAGAAGTGGGGAAACAGAGTCACAAGAAAAGGAAGTACTTGCCAAGGGTCATGTGGGAAATCAGTGTCAGAGGCGTAAACCAAATCTCAGCTTTCTGACTGACTGTCCCACTCTGCCCTCGAGGCAGACGGACTTCCACAAAAGTGGAAAAGTGGCTTGAGGTGTGACTCAACAGCTTTTCCTTCCTCAGGGACTGCCATTCTGTGCAATTACAAATAAATGCCAGCAGGCCATTCGCACCTGTGTCAAACAGGTTACCGAGGGACCCTGGGTAGGCATGTTTTTTGCTGGAGAGGGCAATGTTTTCAAGACTTGAAAAAAGCATATTTTCTTGCCAGATGTATATTTCCTCTGATTACTTTCAGGTTCTCTCTTAATTGTGTCTCTCAGGGATACCCCAGGCATTCTCTCTACCTTTCTCCGTGAGGGAATAACAATAAGCTGATCAAGCTGTTTCTCAGGTGCTTTTGTGTGCACTTATGACATGCATGCCAACTGAACTCGTTCCGGAGATGATTCCTTGGTTGATCCTGCAAGCTGCTCCCTGAGGGGGGAACTCTGCTGACCTCTGCAGCCCTGCACAGATTTGCCATGTGAATGAGAATGTATGATCAAGCCTTTCCTCTGGGGTAAAGCAAAAGCTGGGTGACAGTTCTGGAATTTAATTGCAAAACAGGGGGATTTGCCCAAATAGCAATGAATGTGGTCACTGTGGCCTGTTCTGTTCAGTGCCCCACAGTGAAAAGTGAGAATTCCCTTGACTTAAATGCACTTTTCATTTCTTGTAGCCAGTTGGCGAGGATGTTCAGGCATTGTTGGCAGTCGTGTCCATATCTTTTTACCAAGTACAGGGTGAAGTCCTGCATCTTTAAATTAAGAGCCACCTCTACTCTTGGTATGTTTATGCTTCTCCTCTGTATCATGCACCTGAATGCTGTTTTCATGGGTGTCTATAAATGCATTGTTTGGCACACTCATGCTAGGAGGTACTTCTAAAACATCAGTGTGATGTATTGTGACTGATACAGCCCAACAAGATGCATTACACGCGGATAAGTCAGCCCAGATGCTTAGAAATAAGTGGGGTGTTGGAGTATCTCTTAAATAAAGTCAGAGCTAAGAGTATTCTCATCTCCCTTTTAGCAATGCAACCAAAATGATTCGAGTAAAAAAAATTTATTTATAGTTGTTCCAGGCCGTGGCAGCTGAGTATAAGGAGAATTTGTTCAGATATCTAAGATCTTCTCCCAAACAGTAGGGCTGAAGAGGGTTTTACTCTAGAGTTGGTGCAGAGTAACAGGGATGGAGAGCAAGGGTCGTTGTTGTGGAGGCCTTGACCTTGAAGAATCTCTGAAGGATGGAAGCAGCACAGGAAAGGCCTTTGTTTTGGTTCTGGGCCTTGCATGGATGGAGGGATGGAAGGATAAGAAGAAGCCTTTGACAGAGAATGGTGAAAGGTGACTAGTAACATGAAACTGGGAGGAAACCCTCTTAGTTATGCAATCTCCAGGTGGTTTTCTTCCTCTGTAAGAGTGCACCTTGCATTAGTTGTCCCACTGACAGTTGCTGCTTGCACTGTTTTCTGAACAGAAGTGTTAAAAATGATTTCTCTACTTGACTTTAAGCTTGATTTAACATTGTAGCAATGAGACTGCAACAGCACTTCATTTCTGTCTTCTCTGTCTACAGAATTTGTTTTAAGTTTACTTTGCCTTTACCCTTTCTTGTTGGTTCTTTTTCTATCTGTCTGGTAGTTTAGCCAACACATAGTTCTTTTACCTCCGTTGTCATGCACCTGTTAGTCCCCATATCTCATTTGTTCCATAGTTTTCTGTGTCCCTCCTGCCGTAATTCCAAAGTTGCCATGGAGAAGTTCCTCTGAATTTTGCTGTGGCAGGTTAAGATGTTGCTCCTGTCTCAGCTAGTCCTTGGCCACAGGTTGCCACCATTGTAGCAGAGCCAGCAAAAAGGAGTTTTTTCCTGCACGCGATTGCACCAGATTATAGTTAGATGCCTTAGCTCAAACCTAACAGTCCAGTTATGTTTTTGGGCTTTGTACTGGAGTAGCTGATGTAGAGGCATGTATTTGCTCCTGCTGATCCTGCTACAGGGTAGTAGCCTCTAGAATAGCAGCTTGCTGGAAATGATAGTTTAAACTGCTGGAGCAAGACTTGATGGAGCTTTTCTAATAAACCCCTCAGATTCCTGATTAGCGGGGCTGTTTTTTCCAGTGAGCTGCAATGAATAGCTTCCCCCCACTGACCCAGGCTGGATTTTAATCTTCCGTTTTGCAAGAAAAACAACAAATTTTACGTCGTTGTAATGAGATTCAGACCCTGAGAATATGTTTATAGTCCGTAAAAGAGTTCCGAAAAAATGGCCTTGCTCCTCAACAGTTCTACAGTTGCCAATCTCTGAGACGGTGTATTCTGTGTTCAGATAAGATTCTAGTCCTGCAAAAGAGTTGGACTGCATACAGATTAACAAATCTGTTGCTAGTATCTGTGGCTACTAGCATGACTCACCCATCAGTACTTGTCAGTGTCTGGTGTGACCTCACTGAAAGCTTCAGCATCTCTTATATGAAGGTAGGTAGTCTGTAATCCAGTGGGGGAATCCTAAAGAGATGGAAAGAAAAGTTCTGAGACAGCGATAATGCATACATCATAAACATTCCCCTATAAATTAGATATGCCCGCACCAGAAGTTACCATAAAAATTTTCATAGATGTATGAAGATTTCTTAACGCTAAATCTGCCTTCTCCATGCCTCTATTCAAAAGTACCTGTAACTATTCAAGACAGCAGTAGAAGTCAGTACTGATGGGAAAACTGAGTAGGTGGAAGGGGTTAGGGAGGAGATACTCCTTTATTTGCAAGGGCAAGAAATGACTGATGGTTCCTTTTTATTTAGCACAGCTTTTAAGGCTTGGAAGAAGATACAGTGGGTTTTTTGGTTCCCCCCCCACCCCCCAATCCCTGGAGATAGGATTTCTGGCATGCTAGTTGAGGGGAAGCAGATAAGAAAAAGGAAGGAGGGAATATAACAAAGAGAAAAGGTGAGTGAATTCGCCTTTGGTACCTTACATGTGTATCTTACATATGTAGTGTGGTGATGAGACAAAAAGTGAGAGGCAACAGGAGTTAGAAATCAGATGGTTCTCTTTTCAGCTGTTGCTTTCTGAGCAAACATGCAGCTTGTGCTCAGTGTCTCTACCACCGTCCCATGGGCTGTTACGCGCAACAGATACTAGCAAAGCTCCTCAGTCTAAACAAAGCCAGTTACTGGTATTTTAGGTGCAGCGTCCACATCTAGTAACGTTCACCAGATACAGCAATCA